ATCGGTGTATGCCTTGTGTGCTTAAAGTGCATCGCAGGCATAATTTATCACTTGCTGACGGCTAATTCACAAATTTGGCTGCCGCACCATCAATCAACCCACCCTTCTGACACGAATCGTTACAACTTGACGGAGGGTTGGAAAGGATCCACGGCATGAATTAGGCAGAACTCTTGAACGAATGGACAGAAAGTCCTAGTCTTATTCTTTCATAAATGAGCAAAGCCTTTGCGTAAAACGCTTGGCACTTCTGTTAGGATAGGAGTGAAGTGAAAGGGCGAGCACAGCTTCCTCCTTGTCCTCACCCTCGTGTTCCGTATTTCCTTTAACTTCTCTAATTGACGGTCATCACCTTTTGCTTGACCCCATTGAGGAATTATATGCCAAATGGAATAGAAGGTTGGGAAACAGAAGTGAGATATGAGGCTGGATGGGGCCAGGCAGGTGGTAGGCAGTGTAAAAAGGCAGAAAAATATGGCCAAATGGGACCTGTGTACTAGACTCATGAAAGACGTGAAAGCTGTTAAATATTTTCTCGTCGAAGTCACTTTGCACTGCAGTTTAGAGCTTTCTCAGCCTTAAGGCCCGCCTGAACCTCTTTGTTCGCCTTTTGCATCGAAGAGTTTTCTACGGCTACTACGTGGATGCGACTGTGAAGCAAAATCTCGCAGTCGGCGCTGCGGGCATTTAGCAAGTGAGTCGAACGACGCCTACCCATTTGGAAAACTTCTGAGGGGTGTTGAAATAATCCATCGTGAAATTTTACATGAGGCGCAACCTTCTGTCGGAGTGGCGAATGAAGTCTTTGGTAGAAAGCACAACTACTAGTGATGCGATTAATAAAACTGGCCTAGGCTGACTGAGCCGCAATAACAAGCTCTTCCTGCCCCGGAACTATTCAGGTGGTAATTAAACAACGTTTTGAGTCTATAAATGTGGGCCTAGATTACGTGGGAAAATAGAAGAACCCTTCCCTCTCTGTATTCTATTCGTCTATAAGCAGCAAGTGTTGAGAGGCTTGTGCTGCCCCTTTCAGATGCCTGCGACTCGATCGACACGCCTATGACTTAAAGCTAGTCCCACAGTTTTCTTCATCCAGACTTTTGCTTTTCTGGCGTGTTGGAAACCGGTGGAACTGCACATAGTGCCGTTGAGATGGAAAGCATTTCATGTAGCCACTATTTAACCAAGTCAACTGCTGCTTCTTAGTCAGAAAGAGGTATTAAAAACCAAGCAATTGATCAGAAATAAATCACATTTCTTAAAAAGGTTATTTAGATTGAGAAGAGATTAAAACAAAGTTGATGGGCGCTATTGTCAAAAAAGAAAACAAAAGTTGTGCAGTTCACTCCAGCATTCCAACTCTCTTGCACCGATTTCATCAACACACTGGGATAACGGGGGCAGGACAGACAGAGAGACGGACAGGCGGAGTGAGCTTGAAAGACTTGGGTGGAGTTTAGTCGGCTCAGGGGCTGTAGTCAGGGTGATCCACGGGGCACCAGGTGTTCGCTCAGCTTATCCAGCATTGATCGAATGTCTTGCATGTCCTGTAGGTCCTTGTCCATCGCTGATCCACTAAAAGAGACGCACGAGGAAAAGTGATAACATTCCACCTAAAAGAAGTGTCCAGTAACTACTCTTCTTACTCCTCCTGACTTTATCCAAGAGGTGAGCACTGTCCGAGCCATTAAGCACTTTAGGAGAAAAAAAACACCTCAAAAGTTTTAAGTTTGGATCGCAAGGCCTCCAAAGTGAGATCACGCCAATGAAAGCTGGAAGCATACCGAGAATTTTATAGAATCGGAGGGATAGATAAAGGGATGGCTGAAGAATGGATAGACGATCGGACACAAGGTGATAGGTGATAGGAAACGCTCCTTTCTATTGGGTAGTGAAAACAAAACTTGTCTGCAACAAAGGCCTTTCCAGATTCGAAAAAAGAATATAAACAGTTTTAGCTGAAGCAAATTCTCTCCCAAAAAAGTCACAAATTTTGTCACATCTCATAAAGTAACCCGAAAAGTGATCAGTAGTGGCCCCGTCGCTGTAAACAAACCACACAGACTTTGTTGACGCCAGTGGTATTCTGCCAAATCCCCGAATGCAGGGAAATCGTCCAACAGAGGAAGCCACCTTTTACCTTTTCTGCGGCAGCAAACCCACTTCACCTGCTTGATTTTTTGATTAATGGCAGGGAAGCACCGCTTCCTCATGTAAGGCCTTTCATTGTGTGGTCACCTGTCAGGATGCCATTTTCTGGCATTTACTTCTGTTGTTTCCTTCAAAAACGGAAAAGGGAGTGGGTAGCACATGAGGACGCTGCCAATTCAATGCTCTTATTACTTTGTGGAGGCAGAAGAAGGACAAGAAGGACTAAAAAAGAAGAAGGTGACAAGTTTCCATGCGACAGCGGGTAAAATTCCCCCTCCAAAATAGCCATCTATAGTAGAACCTCCTAATGCATTGTGGATTATCAGAGAGTTACGAAGTGACGATGAAAAGAATCCTACATTTATAAGCATATTAGGCAGGTTGCGCAAATCGTTGCAACAGAAAAAGAGGAAAAGGATTATAAGGTAGCTTACGTGTTGTAAAATTCGCCATTACGCATTGTCCGCCCTCACTTATTAGATAAACTTACAGCAAATTTAACTTGCATTCCATCGGACTATGACAAAAGCAAAAGAAAGTATTGCAACTGCTGGCAAATGGACTGCAATTCTTGTTTGATAGATTGATAGATAGATGGTGGAATAGATAGATGGATGGAGGGATAAGTGGATAGGGCGATGGAGCTGACGATCGGTCCTCCAGCAAGTAACGGAGCGTGCCCGCGATGCATTTCATGCACACAGGGCATGCACATTCTCCTGCAAATGAAGCGGTGCGTGCCTGCGCCTCGGCTTAGGACCAGTTCAGCTTTCTGTCACCCCAGTAACCGAC